TGCTTATAGGTTAAGTTTTTACAATTTATAAGTATGAAATAACAAAAGGCATTTAGTACTCAATGACTATAGCATCAATAGAAAACCTAGAAATGTGTCCCTAGTGTCGATTTTTGGACAATATCAGCTTTTGTGGATTGTGAGAAGTAACTCAATTTTGTCAGCGCGCCTCACATTGTAATTTTTTAAAAAACCCAACATACAGAAGTGAAATGTCCTCGTGGTTTGGTCCACGTTTCAAGATTAATTGTTGGGCTTTTTCTTCGACAATTGAACAATAGGAAAGAAGACAAAATTCCCTTCCATTTAACATTAACATTTACTATGAAGTATCTCAATCTTTTTGCTAGTATGTTACACCCCTCTCAGCCACCGGTATGGCCCTGACACCTGGCAGGGCAAAACAAAACCCGCCTCTGAACTAATCTAAATTGTGTCGATGAGGGCGTACAAACGCCTATGTAATAATGTGAGACATCATATGTGAGGCAGCATTTGTGAGGCAGCGTGGTGGAATCAGGCTCTCGTCTATTTTTCGGCATGTAGAGTTATTTGCATCATCTTCAAGCTTGTTCACTTGCCTCTCTTTGGGTGAAAACAATATCCATTTATCTTGACCCAAGGACTACTATGAGTATAGAAGTCCTTGTCTTGACTACAAGACGAGATATTAGCGAAAGAAGGAGGTGGGGGTCACCTGTTTTCAGAGGTAAAATTAGTGGGAAAATGGCCGCCAACGATTAGTTATTTCCTTAGCTTAAGAGTCCGTGGTAACTGAAAATTTACATATTTGTGCCTTTAATCAACGTTTTTCAGAAATATCAACACAGAAATGAGTTCTTTAATGGGCATGAAAGGTGTTGAGGCCCCCCTCAAAAAAATTTTTTAAAATAAATTTAATAAACATTTACAAACCTGCGGAAAAATTTTCTTCACTTTGATTATTTTGACGAGAGCTTGATTCCACCACGCTGCCTCACATTTGTATGGCGCCAAATCCCCGCTCAACAGCAAGCTTTATGCGCTTCACAATCTATACCATAAGTACTTAAGTAAGAACTTTCCGCTCTGTCTGTCCACAGCGTGCCCCCGAGGCTTCGTGCAGTGCCCGTCGGAGGTGAGCTGTGTGCCCTCACAGTGGATGTGTGATGGTGAGCCCGACTGTCCCGGAGCGGGGGATGAGGATGATTGTGGTAAACTTTGGATTTTAAAACTATTTATCTATCTATCTATCTATTACATGTTTGGCAACTTGGAAACACATGTGTCACTTTTCACGTAAAACTACGACAGCTGCAGAGTTGAAAGAAAGTTGGCAAGTAGGCCTACAAGTACCTGCAAAAAGATAGATAGGTCCCCATGACGGAGCCCGATTTTTTATTTATTCATTTCCTGAATTTAGAAAAATATATTTGACAAAATGTTATCGTCCTTCTTTGGCCTTTGTGATTATTCTACTGAGAAACGAAACAAATCTTCACAACAGATGTTCATTACCGCTCTTTAACATTCACCTAAGAAACACGATTCAAAAGACGGGGTGAGTAATTTTCGAGACTCACCTGTAGTACGTGGAGACGTCATCCTGAGATCCTGAGTATGCATCCAAAGAGTTAGTTGTTTTTAATATAGGGCCCAAAGAGAAAAACGTTTTACTTGCTGGGTCAAGATTAAGTTTAAAAATATTTTTGTTTGGTAGCTAGCCTGTAGAAGCGCCATGCAAAGTTTCGTTGACATAAGTAAATTTGTCAATGAGCCAGAATGTTTTTAACGCTCTCAGAGGAAAGCAAACAAGCTGTAGACGCCCTTGTAGACACTGCCTCTGTGATTTTGAAGACGTCGGTGGGTTCCTTTTACAGTGTAGCAGCCCTTTCGTGGATTCTTATTTTCTTTGTGCTTTTTTGTGATGGTGTAAGGTGAAACCCGTATTTTGTGATTGTGCAGGGCTAGACAGCAATACACTAAAGCAATGATCAAGAGGGGAGTTAATCAAGGCAGACATTATCTAAAACAATATGTGAGGCAGCGTGGTGGAATCAGGTTCTCGTCAATTTTTGGGCAAGTAGAGTTATTGGTGCCATCTTAGAGCTTGTTCCCTTGTCTTTATTTGGATGGGAAAATATCCATTTATCTTGAATACAAGTCGAGATAATTGCGAAAGAAGGAGGTGGGGGTCACCTGTTTTCAGAGGTAAAATTAGTGAGGAAATGGCCGCCAAAGATTAGTTATTTCCTTAGATTAAGAGTCCGTGGTAACTGAAAATTTACATTTTTGTGCCTTTAATCAACGCTTTTCCGAAAAATCCACTCAGAAATGAGTTCTTTAAAGGAGATGAAAGGTGTGGAGCCAAAAAAACAAAAATTTGATAAAACTTCACAAACCTGTGGGAAAATGCAAGTCTCCTCACTTTGATTATTTTGACGAGGGCCTGATTCCACCACGCTGCCTCACATATAGATGTAAAAAGAGCAAAGGAGATGTAAAAAGCCTCCGCGGCGTACCGTAGACCAGGAGGAGCAGCAGAGACGCCACGGCGTCAACTAGTGCTGGGCGGCTAGGTTCCCGATTATTTAAAAGCTAGGAATCGTAGGAATCGACTCCGAACCCAATTACATACTTTCTAATAATGTGATTTTTTCCCGGTGGTTACCTGGTTGGCTCCGAACATCTTCGGGATTAAGGATAACCTTGATTCCGGAACACTACGAAGCACCAACTTCTATTTTTCAAAAATAAAATCTTATTAAAAAAGAAAATGTTAATGATAAAAGTAACTGGCAACCGTTGGTTTACGTAAAAAGGAGACGGAACTTTACTTCCGTTGTATTAATCGTGGGAATTGGTTCCGGAATCGACTCTTCGCCCTGCTCTAGCGTCGACCCCGAGCAAACCGGGTACTCGGCTTGTATATATCTTCTTACAAGTTTTGTTTCACTGTTTCACGACAGTTTTTTTCCTTTTCTTCTTCCTCTTTTTCTCGTTCATGAATAAAAAACAATCAGAATTAGCAAATTAATTAGTTTAGTATAAATAAAGAGAATATTAATCAGGTTGATGATGAAGATCGCAATAAGACGACGACATTGAAGTTTAAGAACAATCACTTCCTTATGAGTGGTTAGCGGGTGTTGTGGTGTGTTCTGCATCTTCTTTTATCCTATCAAACATCTATCGTCTTGATCTCTCCTCCTCCTGTTTTGTGCTTGTTACTCTCTTGTAACACCATTAATCTCCGCCACTTATATGACCTTAATTAATGTGTTGCAAGTGCCGTAAAACTCTTACTAAGACTAAAACATTCGTTATCTTCAGACGTGTGCTCACACTCGGAGTTCCAGTGCTCAGACGGCACGTGTGTACCTGTGTCGCACGTTTGTGACGGCTGTGCTCAGTGTGCTCACGGAGAGGACGAAGTGGATTGTGGTATGTCGTGCTATTTATAGAATTCCTCCGCCGGTGGCTCGAGCCTGTGACTACTCACGTTTGTGAAGCGTGCTGACAAAATGAGTTACTTCTCGTGCTGACAAAATGAGTTACTTCTCGAGCTGACAAAATCAGTTACTTCTCGGATTTGAGCCCTATGAAAAAAGATAAATTATCATATATCATGCTTATAGGTTAAGTTTTTACAATTTATAAGTATGAAATAACAAAAGGCATTTAGTACTCAATGACTATAGCATCAATAGAAAAACTTGAAATTTATCCCTAGTGTCGTTTTTTGGCCAATATCTGCATTTGTGGATTGTGAGAAGTAACTCATTTTGTCAGCGCGCCTCACATTTTATTTTCAGTT